CAAGTCTTTATTGATCAAAAGCTTTTATTGGACAAGACTTAACCGGAAACACACCTTATTCGACAACACTTATCCGGATATACACCTTATCGGACAAGCTTTGATCAGACAGGATGCTTATCACTCACAAGTTAAGCGATATCATATTACTTAATGCTTTAAGCGATGAAGAAGACTTATCGATCAAGAGTTAAACGATTACCAAAAAATACAAGTATCGATAGGTGATGAGACAAAAATCACCTTAGTTGTATGCGATGAAGATATCAAATCGAACAACATGCAATGTTTAAAAAGCGATGAAGGTTCTTATCGCTTGATGAATGAATTCATCGAGCGATGAAGATGACAGTTAGTGAAAATCCAGAATTCGATCCAAAAATACTCAAATTTACACCAAATTGACCAAAATTTTCACAGACTGATTCGCAATATGACCACAAACAATTTTTCAATGTCAAAATTTATCAACAACAGATCAAATTGTCCAAATTTAATGAAAAACCTCAAGAACAGAGTATGAACACTTCAAGAACACGAATCACCAAAAATTTAAAATTGATTCTTGAAATCAGTTCAATTATAAAATTGAATGATTCAAATCAATTCCAAATTGAAATTCGCATACAATTCAATCAAACAAACACACAAATTCAAACAGATTATAAGAAATTGATTCAAAATAGTAAGTGGAAATGAGTCGGTCAAGAAATTGTCCAATTCTAGTCCGATTCAATTCAATATAATTCAATCCTCTAAGTTGATGTAATCTGCTATGGTACTAATTGACAATCCAAGAAAGATTAATCAATTCACAATATATGATTCAAGATTACAACAGACAATTGTAAAAGTATAGAGAGAGTAGAAATGTAGAGAGCGATTTTCAAAATGCTTCAATCGGATTAATTTGCTTCAAAGATTACAAAAATGACAACTCTTTACAATGCTTACTAACAACTACAAGAAAGGAAACTATTTATACTAAGACAAAATACAAGAGAATCAAAAGCTTGAATACAACAATTTAGCAGATAGCCTTGAACCCCCCCCCCCCCACACACACACACACATATATATATATATATAATTGAGGTTTAGGAGAAAACCTAAAAAAATTAAAAACTAAGTAACACCCTGATAAACATTCATCTAGACGGTATGCACATGTACATACAAGTAATTGAAATTGTTTTACTTTATTGGTTTTATGCACGTTGTACATGTTATACACATGTGCGTACCAGACAATTGCATATAAATTACTTGTATGCACAGGTGCATACCGTTTAGATGAAAGATTATAAGAGTCTTCCTTAGATTTTCATTCTATTTATGTTTTTCCCTAAACATGACCCTCCCCCCCCCCACACACACACACACACACACACATATATATATATATAGGGGAACGATCAAATGCAAACCACTCAATTTGTACAAACCGTGCAAACCGCATTCAACCAATCATAATTTTTCATTTTGTTCATTTTTTTGTAATTATGAGAGGTTGATTAATCATTTTTATTGTGTAGGGTGTTAATCATAGATA